TCTGTGCAAGCTGAGGGGTTATTGGGGGGGAGAAGGGGAGGCGGTATGAGATGGTGGGGGAGGTTAGAGAGGGAGGATTACTGCTGACAGAGGAGAAATGCTGTAGGCTTGCAAGTGAGGACAACCGCACTGAGTTTGTGATGTAAGGTTGTGTGTGTTGGATGCAGGTGTACGTTCATGCATGCTTTCGTTTTCTCCTCTCCTGCCTGTCCCTGCCTGAGGTACTTTACTGTGCAGAGAAGGACATTGCATGCACAACAGGCTAACCCAGGGACATGCAAAGGAGAGACAAGGAGGAACAGACCTCTGAGCAAGCCCAAAGCTGTCTGTAAGTACAGCAGGACAGTATACAGTAGGTTGTGCATTTATTGGCCTAACAGTATAATTACACCATGTTGAGTAGTTGTTCGCACTGACCTATTTATTATTGCTGTCTCTGTGCTGCATTTGATCTGTGTTGCTATAGTCAGCTACAATGAAGCCAATACTGTTGTGTGAAAAAAAAAATGCTTTAACCACTACTTTGGTTTTGGATGCAATACAGCTTTACAAAGAGTCCCATTATTTGACTTTCAAAATCCCTGAAAATTTTAAAAGAACAACCCTTGTTCTGTTACCTCCCTATAAAATTAATCTGCCATATTCAGAACTTCAATCAAAGATATTTTAGAACTTCCTGGCACACACACATGCCCATATCTCATACAAAAAATGTTGATATTTCACCAAAGAGGTCACAGAGGTCCTGTATGCAAGCAAATAATCCCCATCAATAAAAAAAAAAAAAAAAAACGTCTACCAAAGCACCATGTCACATAGTGTACATAATATGCTAACCTTTTTCTGAAAACGAAACACCTTGTACATCTATTCAGTGTGGATATTTTGCCACATGCATAGTGTTGCATGTGCAGAGCCAAATTGACAGGAACAATAAACAAGAGACAAGCCTTCTTTGTTTAAATGGCAACAATTACTGTAGTAATATATACTTAGGGATATTGAGTCATAGCACAGTGGTATATTCAGTGCATAGCAATTCTCTTTATGTGCCAAACAGATGACACAGCACTACCATTACGGTAATAAAACCTAAAACCATACAATCTCTAGAGGCCACATAATGGTTATTTGCCAGACTTTGGATATTAGTGGTGACAAAAATGGGAACAGATAGGGAACAAATGCTGTGCTGATCAGATCAAATGGATCTGACTTCATCTATCAAGTTGTACACCCTGACCACCCTGAACTAGTTCTGATTCCATACACCGATGGAAGCTAAAAATAGCTGATGTAATGCCAACAGTGGCTGTTAGCGTCAGTTGGCATCGTGACGCCGGTTGACAGGGTGGATGAAGACAGATGCTGATGATTACAGGTGGCGCGGAGGGGATAATTATGTATAATGTGTGGATATTTGGGACAAAACATTGGGACACAGGGAAAATACAGGACTATGAATTTAAGATGGGGACAGACTAAACAGCTGGGTTTAAGAATGATGACACAGGAATGGGGGATAAAGACATGAACATGAGCTGAATGCTGATAAGTCTTTGGGATGAGAGAGAGAGAGAAAAAATAAAAGACTGAACAGGGTTAGGGATGAATGTGAAGACAGGGAGATAAAGGTGAAGCTGTGAACACGAGATCTCTGGATCTGAAGACAAGCAAACAAGAAGGGGTAGCTTACATCTTGGGTTTTTCCAGGTGACGGTGGGCTCAGGCCGACCCACTGCCAGACAAAAGAGGTTTACATTCTCTCCTTCATTCACCGACACGTTTTTTGAGATGTTGACGATCCTGGCCGGCACTGAAAAACAAGATCACGCGATTAAGATATGACCTCAAAATAACCTTTTATTTCATACATTATTGATAGGGTATGGTCCTGCAGCCTATTAAGGTGTTTAAAGTATGATGCAAATCCCTGCACCTAAGACAGACAGGCAATCAGTTGATTAATGATCTGTGCCTGAGTACTTACTGAACTGTGCGACAATATGCTTGACCGTCCACTTAAAATGCACTGAATTCTAAATGGCTGTAAATGGGCATTAAAATCTCCATCTCCTGACATCTAATCTAATCTTTCAAAATCTTTTCAAAAGGACATTTTTAAAAGTGATAGAATCTTTACTTCTAATATTGAAGTAAAGGACCATCCCTGAATATCGTTTTTGCCCCGAACTTAGTATTGGAACGCTATGTGTGTAGTTAGTTTGATAACAAGATGGCCCTTGAATTTAAATGGCCCATTATCATTGTTTTTAATGAGCTTGGCCATGAGATTGCTTTTTTTTTTGTAAGACATCTACAGAGGATCCTATTTTTCTCTATCTTGCTGGGGTTGAATACTTGCAGCGATAAAGCACAGATTGGAGTGGCGGTGAAGCTATTCCTGCTTGATGCACTGACTTGAGGGTGTAATTATTTTGTGTGATATCAAGCTAGGGCTGAAATTGCAGGCGTCTTGGAATTAGGTATATATGGTCATCTGTGCCAAGCTTTGGACCCTGCAGACAAGAGTGTTTGTTTGGCCGCAGTGCGATGTGAAAACTCTGTTAGTAAGCAGCTAACATTGTCCCTGCCACCTGTGAGCTGTGAGCCGGGTCTCGTGTTTTTCGTTCCAGCAGAATGTTCCTGATATCCTGTTAAAAGTTTTCAGTTTCACCCTGCTGGTGATGAATAACTGCATTCTGCACTACACACAGTCCAAAATATGCATAAAAACTGACACATGCAGGGGGAAAAGGTCTGAGATCCAGCCTCTGGGCGTCCCGTGCCAATACATCGTGTCACTCAGGATCAGTCAGACTCTCACTCACTTAGCTGCTGACTTGATGACTGAGCCCCAGTCGTGGTCCTGCACTGTGAGTTATTTAGTCAGGCAGTTGGACAGCCTCCCTGTGTACCTCATCTCCTCCACACACACCCTCATCCATCTGATCTGCCTAACTTTCTGTTTATTAAGAAAAGTAACCCTAACTGGCCCCATGGAAATAACAAATGGGCATGGACTCCAGCCTTCTTATTGCACCTGACTTTCTGGTTACTGTCACTTGCATTAGGCTTGCTTTACTGCAGGCACACACACACACGCACACACACACGCACACGCACACGCGCGCACACACACACACACAGGCCAACTGAGCTTTCAAGAAGTAATCAAGTAATTGCATTTTGATAAATCCATAACTACCAACCTTAAATAGTCAACATCATAAAAACATTAACTACTAAGTTGTGTGTCATACATTTAAGCATACATTTAAGCATGATTTAACAGAAAAGGAACATTGAAAAGTAACCATAGAAAATCTTAATTGCTTCCTCTGATGTCAAACCTCAATCACACCTAATAGACAGCACTACACTTGGATGAATTGACGAAATGCATAATTAAGCCATTTAGCGGATGTTTTTTTTTTTATCCGAGGCTGCCTTTAGTACCATGGGTGCACACATTTCTTTTGCAGCCGCAGTGGCAATCAAATCTGCAGACTCTGGATATATTAGAGAGATGAGCCAGCGCAATAAACTCTTCAAAGTCACTTACAGCAGATTTCCACTCTTTCAACTCAGCTACTTACCTTGGACAATGAGGTAGACGTGGGCGATGCGGGGCTTGTTATTGGCCTGGAAGGTGCAAGTGTAGGGCCCCTCATCAGTTATTTGAACCTTGTCGATGTGGATGGAGAAGTCACTGTTGTTACTGTTGGCCAGCGTCACACGCTTGTCCAGTGACCACTTGTCTGTTCCCGTGAATAGGATGTTAGAGCGGTTCAGCCAGGCCTTGTGGGTCACCTCCTCGTCGATCCGACATCTGTGAGGGGACAGGAAGTTTAAGATTGATACTAAATACTGTGGCGAGGTGTTTTATCATTGGTGCAGATATAAAAAAGGGTGGGCATATCAATGAAAAAAAACTAGGAGCCACCAGAAGAATGTCACTACACCTCTTTAAGTTTATTGAAGGGACAGGACACCATTCTGACAAAGACCTCCTCGACCAACACAGGAAAATACAGCCTTATATATAAACCTAATGTAACTTTGGAAATCATTTATATTCCTCTGAACCTACTTCATGTCCTGCCTAGTGTCCTCCAAGGGATCCTCCTCACTGCTACCTTACATATCCTGGAGCCAAAATTACTACTAGATGTGTGGCTGTCACAATGAATGAATATCATAAAGGGATACAAAAATATCTCTACACAGTACATAAAACCTTTATCAACTACATCTTAATGATCTGCATTCATTATCTCTACCCTCATTTATTTGGATTTTTAATTCTGTCACGAGTATGAAACCCAGTGATGATTTATACATCAGTGCTTTTACACAGGTGGAGCAAAATGGGTCAAATTCTAAAAATCACTCGCAGGCAAAGCATTGCATGAGGAGTGGTCGTATTCCATTATTCTCCTCTAAGCTGCTTTTTGTCTGTAAGTAACTTAATGCAGTCCATAATACATACATAAGTCCATATATATATATATATATATATATTGTGTATGTATGATGGATATTGCCTAAATCAGGCCTTGAAATCACAATTCAAATTAATGGCAATAAAAAAAATATTCAGAAATAAAAACACATGTAGTAAAAGTACAGTTAAATATTACAATGGAGTGATGATTAAAGCACAGTATCACTATTGCTGTTCCAAAGGGATGTGGCACGCTTCAGAACAGCAACCGTGTCCCAAAGGTGTGACTTCAGTTCTTGGCTTGGCCACTAGATGTCCTTGCCCAGCTTCAACTAGCTTTGAGGACATGCCTCTGTAGTCCTCATGTTTAATTGATATGACCTGTATAAATATCACTGTTGAGGTTGACCTTAGATCACCTGCCAAGTCAGTGGCAGTGACACCACAATGCATAACAACCCCAGTGCAGGTAAGCTTGGAAATCTTTAACAAATAGGCTACAAGGCACTGGTCTGAGGTTTAGGTTGACACATAACCTAAGGGCTAAACCACTTCTAACAGCTTAGGAAATAAAGGAAAAGGGAAAAAAACATTATTCTGATTAAGTTTGTGACTGGTAGGCTTAAATAAAGAGACAATATAATAAGAAAATTCCACCACAAAAATTCATTATGTGTGTACCAACGCTCTATTAATCTATTTTTAAAATTAATCACTTCTGCACTGATGATGTTGCTACAGGACTGCAAGCCCAGAGGAAATGAGCACCATAATAGCATCAAATGTGCCTTGTCTTAATGGCCCGCATCAAAGCCAACACAACAGCCTTGTCTAAAGCATAACACAAGTATTTGTGCCACTTGGGCAAAAGTGATTTTACATGAAAATGGAGTTTATTTATAAAGCTCTTTAGTTGTTTGTTTGTCAGCTATTGTCCGCCAAGTGCCAACTAAACATATGCATGCACACACGCACACACATAAACACACACGCACACACACACACACATCTGATCTGATCTCTACTGATGAAGCTATAAAGGCAGGTCTGTGACATAAAATCAAACTTCCACAATATTCCAATATATGTAGTGCTGCAATTTAAGCAGTGGTTCCTAATCTGGGGTTTGGATGCCCCAAGCGGTTGAAGAAACCTGAGGGGTTGTGAAATGGAACAGGGGAGCAAAGCAGCAAACTTTGATTTAATCTTTTAGTTTTTTCTTGTGAGTTACTAGAAATTGTTACATCTTTGAGCTTCTTAAAAGTATTCAGATAAAACAAAGTCAGACTGAATAATCCACCTGAAACCTGTATTAAATTAAACTTCTTAAGTAGTAGCATATAGTTTTTGTTTTAAGTCGTCAAAAGTCATAAAGGCTGGGAACTACAGGTTTAAACTACCCATTGTTAGGCCCATTGTTTAAAAAAACGTTGAAATAAGAAAGAGATTAATGTAATGTAACATTACTGCACAGCTTTCCTGATACCAAACTGTAAAGGTGACATTAAAAGTGCAGATTTTGCCACCTAGGCTCATTCAGCTTGGAGTTTTAGGGTTAAAAATAGCCAAATAAGTTCTATAGATCCGACTTCTCCACAGAGTCAATAGAACAGCTTCAGGCTACACGTCTTGATGACATTATAGATCAGCATCCTGGTTCTTTGATTTCCAACTTTGAGAGAGAACTGTTGATGTTAACAAATATTGACAGAACTGTACTTGGCTTCAGAATAACATATTTGATTTTAGGCGAAGGCCCACTCTTCTTTCAAGGGAAAAAAAGGGACTAAAAGAGGAATTTGCTCAGAGATCTGGTGAGGTGTAGGCTTAAAGGTGATGAAAGTAATGTTGACTTAGATTTTTTTTTTGTTTTGCGCTGCTGAGTGTACTGCCAAGCCAGGTCATATCCACACAAGGGGAAAAAGCAAGGTGGCTGTTTTTCTGCTTCGTTGGGAGCCGGTGGAAAGCTGAGTTCTACTTTTATCACTCACAGTTAGGCAGTTGTTGTTGGACACAGAGGAGGGTCCACCAACCAAACTGCATCATCGTTGTTACATTTAAGGAAAAGGTGATTGCAGACAGATGGGATAACTGAAGCGATCTGACTGGTATTATGATTCAATTAGCAATAGGATGCTGGAAAATATGGCGTCCAAGTGAAGTTATGTGACAGAGAATTGGCAATTAAAGCTGTATGACAGGTGGGAGGAAAAATAAACATGTTTTTCATGTAATTAGTAGGTGCAGGTGTAGGATCAAGAATTACCTCAAAGTGACGCTTTCTCCTTCCAACACTGTAATGTTGTCCGGCAGGTGTCCGAATTCTGCTCCGTGCACACTGGACCCTGCCAAGAAAAACGAGAGAAGAGACCAGTGAGCATTCAGTACTGGCACCAGACACTCCGCTGCTGTTCATCAATCTCAGGTAAGGTGCTTGAGGATCCACTACCTCACCAAATCAGTTTGGGTGGGAATGTGCTCTGTATCCTGCTTACTTATTTCTGAAAGGAAAGTAATAAATATACTAAACAAAAGAGTCACAATGTCTGCACTGACCCCCATACTTGAATAATGATTTGGTTTTACCCTGCATTCTGGTGGGGTGCGCGTTCATTGAACAGCACTGATAATGAGCCAAGGGAAGAGGATTCACGCGGAGCTGCCGGAGCGTGAAATGAAGGGACAGCGACGGTAACAGAAGGGATGCTCATCCTGCCTACCAATACACACACACACAAACACTTGGAGAAGTGAGGCACATGCTTACAAAAGCACAAACATACACAAGAACAGACACATCCTGAGAGCCATTAGTTGAAGAGGAAATACGAACTTTGCATGTGTGAGATGTGTTTGAGACACTCAGGTGAAAAAAAAAAAAACAGTTTGAAGT